TTACTTCTCCACATCCAAATCCCCTAACAAGACTTAAAATGTCAGCATATGACATTTCAACACTGCATCTCTGTGTACTCCACTCTTGCAAAACCCTTCCACCAATGTAATTCATTCTCTTCCTAATACTCATAACCCCTCCAACCCAAACTTCAATAGGGAACATGCAATAGAAAATAATAGTAAATATATGTTCATTTACTACTTATGATCCAACCATATACCCTACATACAATACCATTTAATTACGCCCAACCATTTCTCAACCACACATATACTATGAAAAAGGAAAATTTAAGGCAAACACAATGCACATTATATCTCATGTCAGTTTCACATTCTCAGTCAATGCACTTCAAACAAACACACACCACAGTCCACATTTTTACTAAAATATTTTATAAAATAATATTTTATTCAGCAACCCATAAATCCATGTCACTATCTAACTCATACATTTCGATAACTAAACCAACAAAATAAAATAAACCCACAATTTATTGCATATAAATTCACAACATTCATTAACAACCTCTTTATAAACATAGTAAGTAATAGAGCCTAGGGTTCGTACCAATTTTTTTCCAGTTTTGCCTTTTCACTGTGAGTTGCGTGAACCCTACCTTTCTTGAAGGTGTCACTTTAGACAGATGAAACTAAGTCCAAAAGCAAAGACGACGCTTTATATTGTGGGTTACATGCTCAATTCTTTCGTGTTTGCGACGAGGGTAGAAGGAGAGAGTGGTGGTCAGGGATTTGATAGATGAAGGAGGATAGATGGGCTCTAATCGATGAGAAGAGTGGGATTTGGGTGGGTTAGGGTTTTTTCTTCCTCAATATGAAATGCACAGATTCACTTAACCCTCCCTTAGTTAAATGAACTTCAACAACAGTCTATGGGTCCACGTATATTAGTATTATATTGCTTAATTTTGACCAAAACCAAATTGGGGCTTAATTTTCACAAAAAAAAAAAAAAAAAAAAAAATTCCTCAATATTGAACATGCCACAGATTCACTTAACCCTCCCTTTAGTTAAATGGAAACTTCAACAACAGTTCGTATTGCGGTCCACGTTATATTAGTATTCTTATTATTTGCCTTAATTTTTGAACCAAAAAACCCAAAATGGGGGGCGGCCTTAAATTTTTCACAAAAAAAAAAAAAAAAAAAAACAAAAAAAAGAAAAAAAAAAAAAAAAAAAAAAAGAAAAAATTGAAAATAGGGTGCCTGAGGGGTTAAGTTGATTTTAGGGTGAAATTATGACAAGACGCAAAGTTGAGGGTATAAATGATGGTTTACCCCTTGTTTATTTAGGTTTTCAAGCACCCTTCTTAGTGTGAGAGTAAAGCTTGCAAGTTTGATTGTTCTTTACAAAAACAATCTAAGTTTCCTAGTTCTTTGAAAAAACTAGCAGGATTAAGTATTCTAGTTCTTTAACAAAAACTAGAAGGTAAGTTTACAAGTTCTTTGCAAAAACTTGTGGGTTATAGTTAGTTTTAAGTGCTAGGACTATTTCCATCGTGAGTTATGGTTAGTGCTAAGCATTAGGACTATTTCCATTATAATAGGCTTTGCTCTTCCCTTGAAAAGAGTTTAATAATAGAGGATCTCAAAATGGTTTCTTGAGGAGTGGATGTAGGCGTGAGAAGTACTGAACACTATAATTCTTGCTATTTGCTTTTCTCCTCTTATCTTTCTCTTTATCATATTGCTTGATTTTTCACACTCACACACTTCATCTTAATGATATGCAGTTATCTTAATTATTGATCACTCTATGTTCTGATTTGTTGAATCTTTATGATTAATATTGCTTTAAACTAAAACTGTTTATGAGTTACAAAGTTGCCAGTTTAGTGAGTTATTTTAGACCTGTTGATTGATTAAGTATTATAGATAATCTTTTTGCTTATGTGAGTTATATGATTATAAAATCTGTAAATTATCTGAATACTAATGTGTTTATGTTGTGTTTGGAAAAGGTCTTTAGCGTGCTATATTTTTATAATTCACAATTCAACCCCTCTTGTGTATAGCCTATCAAGACCTACAACAATGTTGTTGACTATGTTCTCATTTGAATGAAGTAAGTTTCTTTAATATTTTAAAGAAATGGATTCTTGGATTTCTGTTAATGCTTTCTGCAAATGATTTCTGTTAACAATATTGTTTCTCCAAGTTTAATGCTTTCCAAGTATTTATTTTCGCTTTGATATTTATCTACGTTTTAAACTCAGTTAAAGTTATTCTAATTCTGCTGTAATCACTTTAATTTTGGTGTTTTCATTTTAAGTTAAAATTTTTAAAAAACTCAATTCACTTCCTCTTGAATTTGTTTCATATTTGGAACCATAATTGTGGAAATATATCCCATAATTGGTGGAAATATATATTATATAATATATATATATATATATATATATATAATCTCCTTATACATAACATGACCTGTTAAACCAATTGTTTCTTTCAAAAATAATACACTTTTCATTTTTTTAATTAATGGCACCTGAAAAAATGGCGTTGTAATAAAAAGCATTCTAGAATTCACTTGTTCTTAATATAGGGAAAGATAAATATGCCTGTAGATATAACTTTAATAAAATATTAAACAACTTAAATATTTTGTTCTTTTTTTATGTCTTGTCAACTTGACATAAGTAGTAATAATTCATGGACAACAAGTAAAAAATTTTTTTTTTCTTCCATAGGCGGTCATTGATGAGTTCTCACTAGTAGCTATCCATTGTCCTTCTTCGTATTTTTTTTGAATAATACTCAAATATGTATCTTTTGGTACAAATATGAGTTATTATTTCCATATATTTAGATTATCGTTGCCCACGTATCTTGGGATTTATTTTGAAATCTAGTTGTTTTGACAGTTTCTAGATTTTGTTGCACCGTTATGGTGATTTTGTTTATATTATTTTGTTATTTGGATAGTTATGCAAAAACAAGTGCAGATCTCATTTCTGATAGAAGAAAAAAATTTAAAAATAATCATACTAAACTTATAGAAAGACCATGAAGTCAAATAATGGCATCAATATATGGCCACCACATGGAGAGGACAATCACCTTTGACACGTGTATCATTGGCTTATCAACTCGGTCAAATACTTCAAATCAAGATTGTGTTTTTTTATTCTTTATATAAATTCTTTCTATATAAAAATATAAAAATATATTGTATATGTGTATATGTTTTCTCTTAATGAATTTTAAGTTTGATTTATTCTTAAGAAGAAAACCTCTAAAAATGCATCACACGAGTTTAAATACATCATCGTACACATCACTTCTTTCTTGAAATGAATAACGTCAACACCAAAAAGGCATTACGAAAAAGAAGCAACCCAGGTAATTGTTGAGAATAATAAGAACTATTTTATGCTCTATAGCAAGTTTAGAATGATCAAACTCATCATTTTGTAGAGGTCATTCGTTAAAGTGGTGTTTACCTTATTATTTAAACAACTTATTAGGCGGAGTTAATTTAATAGTTGTTAAATTCTGCATATTGCTCACACATCCCATAAGAGAATAATATGTTGGGTTTAATCATACAATAAACACAACGGAATTAAAATAAAAATTTATTTATATTATGCCAATATGGATCCATTTAAATAAATAAGCCAATAAAAATTTAGGTTAGAAGAATACCTTGAAATTGAGCCTTCAAGAATATGACAACACCGTCTTGTGCTAACAATCTTACAAATAGATGATTGAAAAACTCTAAAATGATTTTAGAGAATTGAGAAAATAGAGTGTTTAATGGTGCTAAAAATCTTACGCTTTTTGTTTTCTATATAGTGGTTATTTTATTTTAGATCTTCATTAAACAATATATATATAAAACACCTATGTTAAATAAATAAAACCTTTTATTAAAACAAATTGTAATTAAAATATATAAATAATTATATTTATTCACTTAAATATTTTATGTGAATAAATCATAATTATATCATTGCGATTTTTCAATATAATTAATTATGTCTATTTATTTAACTATTTAAATAAATAAATCATAATTAAAACATTAGATTTATGTGATCTAAAATTTTTAACTCAATAAATTTTAGATAGAAAACAATTAAGTCTCTGCTTAATATTTTTCAGTGAAATTGTAATTAAATATAGTTTATTATTTTACCTTTAATATCCCAAGATTTATTGATAATCAATTCATTCTTGATTCAATTTATTGCTTTTACTTTCTCATATCTATTCTTATATATGTGATCCATTAGGTTCCAAATATGTTGGCAATAAATATAATTAATTAAATAATTATTATTTAAAGGTCAAGAACATTGTCTTATAACATGTCAAGACTATCCAAATATTTGGAAAGTCAATAGTAGTTTGACTTAACCTTTCAATGCATAGTTTATCAGTATAATAAATATCATTTCATCAATAATGGTCTGATTTAAAAATTAAGCATGAAGTGTGCCTGCTACGCTAAATCATGTTAGTTCTCTCAACATTAACTATTGATCTCTTGAATGAAATTCTAAATCCAGTTTGCTAATTTCATTCTACCTTGCTCAAGAATTTCATAATTAATACTAATAGAAAATAATTAGAATATTTTTCCCTAATCTATCTAGGGTGACGAATCCTATCTTAATCACATAAGTATCTCTATATAGTTCCCGCTATATCCAATTCTTCATTACTTGTTATCCATAAAAGGAATAGAATGAGGAATCAAAAGATAGCAATTAATCCCTATACAAGATAACTTAGTAATTTTCAAGTCAAAAAATCAGTTACACAAATATTACTTGAGTATTCTATAGACACATGTAACTCTCCATATGAATTTCTCATGTAGGTCAATTCATTTGACTTATCTAAATAACAAGCACATTCAAATTAATTTTAGATATCACATATATCTCAGCTTATGAAAACAACTGCTTCCTTTCACAAAGGAAAAAGTAACAATAATATATTCTCATGGACTTTATCTTTAATCCGAGATTCATTTAACAAAATATAAAAGATAAATAAATGTCTTTTATTAATTATAAGATATTTAATGCATAAAACATTATGTCTAAATAAAACCAATCAATTGGCTATGAGGCATAAGGCATATAACTAAGGTAATATTTCTCCATCAAGAAGTGGAGAGAGAGGGTCCAGCAACAATGGTTGCGTCATATCATCAGGCATGTCGTAATTGTCAATCAAGAATGGTTCTGTCCAAAAGTTTCCTGTAGGTTCTTCATATGCTTCCAAGAAATCTAATTCATCAGCAGATTTTAACTCACCGTTACTCATGACTGGCCTGCTATCCATGGCCATGGTTGATGAATCACTTGTAGATGATTTTGGAGATATTGGAGAGCTCTCCATAATATGAGGAGTTGCAGGATTTAGTAGCGGAATTTGCGGATTAATACCTTCTTTTTTTGTCCTTTTACGTTGAGAAAAATCGCTTGAGTTTGGTTCAGCCCTTTTCTTGAGGATGGAGTGCCAGAGGTTCTTTATGTCGTTGTCAGTTCTCCCCGGTAACTGGGCAGCAATAGCAGACCATCTGTATATCCAAGATATACACAAAGTATAAAAAGCATTTGATACATGTATTTTTACTTATTTCTAAATATTTTTCAGTTTTTGCCCTCAAAACTTTTTCATCTTTTAGTTTACATAGTGTTTTGGACAAGTATAATGATACTTATTTCATTTGCGAATTCTTTTATAAAAAAAAAAAAAATCATTTGTACATGGATTTTAATGTTTGGATCAACCATATAATTCATTCTATTATATATAAACCTTAATAGCTTGTATTTGAAATTCATATAGTTTTGGTAATTTGTATCCTTCTAAATTTAGAGTTGATTTACAAATTCTATCAATTTGTTCCAAAGCATAACCAATTAAAAAAATAAAAATTCAATTATAGGAAACATTAAATTTGGAACTGAATTCATAAAATTTAACGGAATTCATTTACACAAACAAATTTGTATACGTACTTCAACCTTATTTATAAATGATTTAATTTCATTTCAAATATCTTTTCGTTTGGTATTTTATATACACACATAAACATGGGACTTTGAATGTAATTTTATTACAATAATCCAAAAAACCAGGAACTATAATTGTTTGTCTTATTTCTGTGTCCACAACTACCTATCAGACAGAAATTGAAACTATCTAGCGCTGGACTCTTATAGCTGAATGGTTGTGAAACTTTTTCTTTTGCAGACATTTTTCTAGCTTCCTGCTATATAAATTTCAGAAGAAAAATATGAATTAAAAATATACCTATTCCCTAGTGAATCATGCAACCGAATGATGGCGTCCTCTTCTTCTTTAGAAAAGTTTCCTCTCTTAATATTAGGCCTCAGATAATTCAGCCATCGCAATCTGCAACTCTTTCCACACCTTAACAGACCTGGAAATGAAAACAAAAATAATCTTTTATTTTATGTACCATCTTTCTTTCTCTGCATTTGCAGAGAGAGAGTTTTTATGGCTCAAACCTGTATCCTCTTTGTCTCTTTTTATGTATAATAATTTCTTACCTGCATACTTAGGAAGTTGACGCCAATTCCAACAGCCATTTCTAGAAATATAATCCATAAGTTTTCTATCTTCTTCAGGACTCCATGTACCCTTCTTCAGGCCACTTTTGTCACAGCAAGGAGTTCTAACCATTTTCCTTTGTATTCTTCTATGAAGACTCTCACTCTCTCTTTGATTTTCCTAAACCACTTGAAATTTCCAAGTACAAGTAATTAAGAATTCAAAGTCTCGCCTATTTATAGTACATACCATCACTTTAGACCGAAACGTGTTTCATGCCAGTTGATTATTACTGTTTATTTTAAATTTTTTGGTTTTAGATTATCATCGGACTCCGATTGAATTGAATCAAATACGTGCTATTGATACTGTTTATGTTTAAAAAATCAATGGTTTGATTCATAAATAAATGATTTTATTCTACGGTCAAAGACAGAACAGTTTTTTTGGGTTTTTTGGATTTAGTGAAAATCATAAAGGAAAAAGGTGCATCCACGAAGGTTCAATAAAAGCTTCTCTTATCTACAGGTTCGAAAGATAAAGAGTGCAGGTCCTTGATACGAGACTTGTCTTTTCTTATACATGAGGCAATAAGGTCCGGTCCCCCATGTGTTAAAACTTTAAAAATCAATTAATAACAAAATAAAATAAAGTATAAAATTTTTTCACTTTAATCCATCAAATTCTACATTTATAAAATCACACAAATTTAACTTTTCAATTTACAAAATTATTTTATTAAACACTTTAAATATTTTATTAAATTATTTAAATTATTTATAAAATCACACAAATTATTTTATTAAATATATAATAGATCATTCAAAACATTTAAAGGGCCATGGAGTTAAAGTTGCAAAATGTAACGGTGAATTTATATATTTGGATATTTTATTTATCAAAATAAAAAGGTATCATATGTATATCATAAAAAGAATTTTTTTTTTTTAAGAATTGACTCAGTGGAAAATTTATAACATTTTTTTTTTTCAAAATTCATACTACTTCACATTTTCATCAAGGTAAATTTAATACAAGGCGTGAAAAGGTATCATGAAGATTTTTTTTTTTTTTTTTTGAGTGAGTTTTAAACAAAAAAAAATGTATAATATCAAAATCCAAATAGTCAAATTTATTAATCCACTAAATAATCTGTAATCATTCTTGCCAATCAAAATTAATCATCAACCATCGCTATTAATCATTCATGACTATCATAATTTATTACGACATCTGTTATTGTTATATTTAACAAATTACTATGCTATTTGTCACATGAGAAAAGACTATATTCCTAAATACTTATGCCGTTTATAGTTTTCACAAATAATATATTTTTTTATTTCTTATCATTTATATATAACCAACAGTGATTGCTTCAATTTCTCAAAAATTTATTTTAATTCGGACAAATTGAATGGTTTAGGGATGTGAAATCTCTAAATGTGACAGTATTTAGAAATAGAGAGGTATGTTGGAGCATTTTTTTTCTCATATTTAATTCTGTATATGTTCCAAAATATAAGTCATTTAAATTTTTTACTTAAGAATTAATGAAGAAATTAATTCTCTTAAATTATAAAAAAAAAAACTAAGAGTAATTTGACCGAATGATTCTTTATCTCAAAATTCCACGAGTGAATAGAAAGTTGTATCTGAGTAAATTATGAAAATAGTTATTATATCTGATATAAATAAGAGTACCATTGGAAAAATAATTATTTATTACTCCTTAAAATACTTAAAACGACTTATGTTTTGTAAAAGAAAATAATCAACTTAAAACGACGTATATTTTGAGACGGAGTGAGTAATAAATTATAAAAATATGAAGTTTATAATTTTAAATATATTTACATAGTCTTGTTCTTAACATTTCCACTAATTTCAATTTTAAAATCAAATAATAAAAAATTAAATTTTCAAAAACTATTTCTCAAAATAAATTATTTTTCACAAATAAAGATAGACTTATTTTATTAACTTTCTTACAAATCTTCAAAACATCCGCGAAAGGAATAGAGAAATTATGTACAAAAAATGCGTGTGAAGCGAAAGACAGTAAAATCTAATTTCGTCGGTAATTCTTAGTAAGGGCTCCTCAGCATGAAAAAATTGATCGAATCCATTTGAATCAACTGATTCTGTTTGTTTTTAGTTTTACTAGAAAACATTGAATATTTTTTATTATCTAAGATAAGAAAATCTTGAAAAATTAAATTAATCTAATCTAAAAATTAAGTTGAAAAAAAAAAAAAAAAGTGAATCAAAATAATTTGATTCGATTTAGTTTGAACTAAATCAATGGGATGCTCACTACTAGCAATATGTGAAATTAAAAGAAATTTAAAATATTTGTTCGATGCTTGGAAGATGCAGAAGTTTTTAATATTTTTATGCATTTCATATAATTTTTCATATTTTATATTTATCATAAAATGCATAATTCTTTTTTATTTTGTACACATAGTCATTCAACTTGGACAGGGCGATGACATGGTCCGTTGGTGAATCAAATTCAAAATCAAATTGGTTTTGTTTTTGAACCATATAAGAAATAAAACCAGAATGAACCGATTGAACCATGGCCATGGGGGATTCAGCAACCCTGATCAATTTTTTTTGATAATAATAATAATTATAATTATCTTAAAATTATAGTCTAATTAATATATTTATTTTAATATTTTTAATGATCCATCAATTGAATTATTGCCTTCTAGTTAAACAAGAGACCCATCCACCTGATTCCCCGAACATATTAGTGGTCGACTAAATTTAGTAACTATATTTGTACACTTGTTTCTATATTCAAACCCGGTTAGATTTATGTGAAGATCTCAAAATAATGGCAATCCTAAGTTTCAAATATCTGACTTTGCATGTAACATGGAGATACAATTTGATTCTACTAATTCAACCGATTATTGGTATATTTCTAATTTAGAAAATTGTTAATTCGATAATGCATTGTTTAATTAAAAAATAAAACTTACAGTTGGATTTCAAAAAATAGAATTGAACAGTTTTAATATTAGAAAAATGAATTTTCTCTAACATATTCCTAAGAGATTAAATACAAGAATAAATGATAGAGTATACAACCATGTGCGTATATATATATATAAGAATAAAACAATTTGATTTGATTTCTGTTTAACCAAACTAATTCAAAACGGATCGTTTATGTAACATTTTGAATTTTTATTTTCAAAATTTTTGGAATTTAATTAATTTGAGTAATTTCATTTGAGTTCCATGGCGCAAAATGAATTCTGTTACAAGTAGAAGCTCGAGATGGAAAATTGGGCCCACAGCACGATTTTTAGGACTAGCCTTCATTTAAGGTTCTACAATTATTTAGAAAATTTATCATTTTGAATACTATTATTTTCAAAAAAAAAAAAATTAGTAACAACTATTATTGTTTTATCATTATTATCGTCAAAATAAACTAATAGAGACAACAAAAACAAGAAAATATTCTATCTATATTTATATCTCTATTGGGATAAAAATGCCACTACTAAATTTATAAATTGAAAAAAATATATTGCTAATGATTTTAATTTAATTGGTTAAAAATATAAAATGAATTTAATTTTAATTGGTCATATATTAATTTTCTATTTAAATTTAAATTCTATTGGATAATATACTATAAGATACATATAAAATATGGTAATTCTATTCGTTACATTTTTGCACTGACGGTTCTCAAATCAAATTATATAACATAATCTAAAATAAGCTATATAATATATGTTAAATATGGTAATATATACATATTATATGGTGGTATATACACACTATATGGTAATATAATATAAGATGACAATATTATTATATGGTAATATATATATTATATAGTAATATAATATAATATGGTAATACTATTTGATGGATACTAGATAAGGTATATATTAAATATGGTAGAATATAGGATCTTTGACGGTTTTAATTTTATAAGTTGAAAAAATAAAGGTAATTTAATTTTGATTGTTATATTATATTATATAAGGTACATATTAAATATGGTAAGAATATGATATGTTTAATTATTATTTTTAATAACGTTTTAATTTGATTGGTTATAATTATTTCCTACAAGTAAATTATTCTACAAAAGTTAAATGTAATTTATTATTATTTATTAAAAATATATTATAACATTTATTACTTGATATAAAATAAAAAATAAAACTCACTTGAAATATCTATATTTAAAAAATACAAATTATGATATAACACATTACATTAGCAAAGAATTTTTTTTCTCAAAATACAATTATAAATTAATTATAAATGAATACCAGAAGAATAAATGATGCACTAAAATAATGATTAATAATTAATTGTTATCATTGCTAATATTAATTTTTTATATTTTAGTAATATAGACAGTTTATGCTATTATATTGTATACCAAAAAACCAAGTTAATTAATTTTAAATTGTTATAATAAACTGATTGATAAGTAATTTTTTTCATGAAAATTTGGTTATCAAATTATAATAATATTTTATTATCATGAATATATTATTTTCTTAACAAGTTATTTAATTATTGAATTCTTTTCCATTATTATTTCATATAATGTATACATTAAATTACATTTACTTACAATATGTAAAAAATTAAAGAGTTCAAATGTATATAAAGTGAGAATGGGGAAGCAACAATATAATTGCCAAAAATTCACCTATTGGAATTATAGATAGACAAAAATATCATTAAAGATTTTAATTTTATTGATTGAAAAATAAAGGTAAATCAATTTTGATTGTTCATATTAATTTCCTATTTAAATCTAACTTCTATTAGATAAAATAAGAAATTATATAAAGTATATATTGAATATGGTAAAAATCTAATATTTTTAAGGATTTTAATTTTTTTTTAATAAATTACACGAGGTATCCAGGCCCGTGTCCATTTTAACGGTCTACAAATTTGACTAATTTCTGCTCGCCCACAGAGACAAAAGGGCTGTCCCGATCGAATCTATAACCTAAGCTATGATGATCAACCTGCAAATGCTCTTTGTCATTGAGCTACCCCTGTTAGGAGTAGGATTTTAATTTTATCGGTAGTAAAAATCAAGATAATCTAATTTTGATTAACTATTTTATACTACAAAAAATACATATTAAATAGCCTAAGAATATAATATATTTTATTTATTATTT